GGATAAATTATAACCCCATTCAGTGGACTAATTTAATACAGAGTAATTTTTAATGTTAGGAGTATTCATTTTTACCTTATTTCTTGTGTTGTGTATGACAAATATCACACACATGTCCTCTCCTTTAATTTTCCCAGTAACTCACAAAATAGGCATTCTTTACAAATGAGGAAGCTAAACAGGCTTGTGATTTGTCCCAAGTCAAAAAGCTGAGGGAAGTGGCAGCTGGGAGTGAAACCTACAACTTTTGCCACCTGTTAAGTACTGGGAACATAACATTTTGCAGCACACACACACTCAGTGTATCTGACGTACCCAGGGAAGAGCAGACATGCATTACAGGGCCTGCCTCCCTCTACAAATACAGTTCAGAGTCAAACATGTTCAGATCTGTAGCCGAGATATCAAGAACTCTGGACTTAGAGCAATGAGAGCTTACTTCCTGCTTTGGGATAGGGAGAAAGATGGTGCTATTTTTAAGATAGGAATAATTTAACAAGGTGAGCAGTTGAGAAGACACACTAAATATGGGAAATAAATTGAGAAGGTCACTGGAGAGGTCCATACATGTATAAACAAGGTACTGTGCCTGCTGCAAGGATACTGTGACACTGGTAGTTGACTATAGTTTATAAAGGTCAGTTACAGGGACTCTGACCTCTCACTAGCTGTTGAGTTTGCATGTGCTTAGTTGACGTGGCCACTGTGAGACTATGACAGAGAAGTTTTGTCATCAGCAGTGTTGTCCACTTGGTGCCAACGTGAGGAAAATGTCCCTCACCTCGGGGTGAATACTGCTGGCCAAATTAGCCAGCCGTACACAGGGCCGGGTTCTTTGGCTTTTTTCTCCTTCCTTTTCAAACCATCCATCCAGGTGTCCGTCAGTACAGCTGTCTCCACCCTTCCCCAATTTCCCCTCCTGTCTTTAGTCAAACCTCTGTATCTCAGTGTGGCTCCTGCACAGCTGTGTAACTGCTTGCTGCACTTCTGGGCCTGCCTCATCTTTTGCTTATCATTTTCCACATTAGGTTAGTGCTTGTCCCAAAATTCAAGTCTAATCATTCTCCTGCTTAGCACCCTACTGTAAGTTCCTCGTTTCCCTCTGGAGTAAGTCCAACTCTCTATCCCTGTTATCACACAGACACAACCTAGTCTGTCTGTCTCTTTACAAAAAGAAAGGAAGACAGCGTCTCTCCACCACACGGTCTCTCTGGTCACTACCACAGTTCTCTTCTCCTGTGTGTTGAGCAGCATCTGCTGTCCACTTTGTCCGCTGCGTTTATCCAGGTCCTCATGGTCTAGTGTTGCCAAGTCTCTAGGCTAGTTGATCTTCTGTCTGCGTGTGAAACGGCTGAGCATTCCACCTTTAAAATGCTTTCGTCTGTCTCCCAAAACACCCACAGTTCTAAGTTTCCTCTTAAAGACCAGTCATGGTGATAGCATTTTCCAGGGCTCTTGTACCTTTTCTTTCTGTTTTCCTCTATACAGGCTAATCTAGTCATAACTGAACTGTTCCTTCCTCATACAGAAGCAGAGCTTCAGTGACTGCTTTATGCTCTCCCACATACATTCAGCTTCCGATCTGACATTCTTAAAAGCATCTCAGAGGTACCGTGTCCTTACAGAGTTCTCTAAGCCTGTCTAAGCCAGGAATTTTCTCACAGACAGCAAAGTTCTGTCTGTTTCTTTTCTCTGCTGCTATCGCTACAACTGAAGCTGTGCTTGCTCTCTTCCAGTCTCTTCCATACACAGCCAGGTTGGCTTTTGTCTGTTTTTACATTTCAGTTGGGTTTATCTTCTCTTCATAAACTCTTTTGGGACTCCACATGGCCTGGTTCCTGCTTACCTCAGGTCTCACCCAGAAGCCTGCTGCTAGTCTGACCATGGGCTTTCCACACCTCAGACATACCTGGCTCTGTCATGCTGCTTTCCTCTACTCTATGTGTTTAACAGTTTCTCACATTCAGAATTTCCGTAAGCATCACCCAAACTAACGTTTCTCCAGTTACTTAACAAAGTGTCCTGGCTACTTCCATCATAATGTCTCATATTAATTATGGTTTTATTATTTTCTGCTTTTTCCATTACCCTGTGATCTGCTCAGCATCAGACTTTTGCCTTTGTTCATCCCTGTCCCCCTCCCCCTCCAATGCCTTGGAAATGCCACATACTGAAAATTTGTGCTAGGTGGCTCATCAGGGTTTCTCAGTGAGGGAGTTGATGTTGTTCCTTGAAAGACATTTGACAATGCCTGTGGGCATTTTTTATTGTGATGACATGGTGGAAGTGCTGGTGTGCTATTGACATGCTGTAGAGACTAAAAATGCCAATAAATGTCCTAAAACACAAAACAGCTAATCCAAATTGTCAGTGATATAAGAAATGTCTGGCTTAGATCTATGAGAGCACTTAACACATTAGTGTGGCTTGTATTTCCTTGTAACACTCCCCATGGCTCTAAATTCCTTACCTTTACCATTGTCTCTCCACACCACCTAGGATTTATAAGATAGACACCTAGAGAATTCTTGGTTATGGCTAAAGATAGGAACAAGTGTGTGTACAAACTAGCCTGTCTTTTGGTATTAGATAGGAAGTGTTGCTGCTTAGACTTTGCAGCAGACCATAAGATCCATTGCATATAAAGCGGTAGCATGGAAGATTATGAAAGAACATGCATTAGACTCATATTTCAAATGTATATTCTGTTCAAGTTATAACTAAATTGTGACAAAAAATCACATTTAAAATGACAACCAAGATAGAAGTGGTGCAAGGGATTAAGGTGTTACCTTTTACCTTTCAAATAACTGTTCTGAGGTGACCATCCAGGCATGTGAATTGTTCTGCTCCATGAATTGTTTGGAGTGGAGTTGTGGGGAGAGTGCATTTCTTTCCAGGTTGTCAAGTCAGACTTCATGCCTAAGCAAAGTCTTGAGTCTTACAAATGGCCTAGACTGGGCAGCCATGTCTAGGTTGTACTGTAGGCAGGGATAGGAAAGGGGAGAAGGTAAAGCTCTGTCTTAGATCATAACAACACTGCATTGGCAGGAGCTCAGAGGCCTTGTCTTTTAACTAGCCAGTGTGGTGCAACCAAGCAGCCATGGCTAAAACCTGGTATCTGCCAGTCATTACGTGAGAAATGACATGCTCGTGAGAATCTAGGATTGACTTAGGGAAACAGAAACTCTTGTGTTTGTTTCTGGGTGGTCTGTGGTGAGCTTTTAGCTTTATGGTGTAAACTCTGTAGGTGTCTTGGACTCTTGCACTTTCTTCGTTGGTTTCAGTTTTCCAGTCCTTTTGACATGCTTGTAGCCTTGGCTATTCTAATTCACCTCCATGTTGTCTTCTCTCTGTGTCTGAAGAAGAAAGGGACTGTGTAGGTATTTGTTGTTGTTGATGTTGCTTTTTGTTTAGAAAATAGGTATCTGTGTACTAATACCATATTCACATATTACATTTTATATTTAATTCTATAGTATTATTCTTTATTGTTATGTGTATGGGTGTTTTGTTAATATGTTTGCCTGCACCATATGCATGCAATATGCAACGCCCATGTAGACCAGAAGAGGGTATTGTATTCCTTGAAGCTGGAGTTATAGATGTTTTGAGCTTCCATGTGGTTGCTGGGAATCGGAATAGGCTAGCATCTGGAAAAGTAGCCAGTGCTCTTAATGGCTGAACTGTCTTTCCAGTTCTGTATTCTAGGTTTCTTATGTAGGAAGATAGATCATGTCTTTCTTGAAAAAAGTTGTGTGGTAGTACAGATTGCTTGACTTTCCCTAGATTATACCACAGGAGATGATATATGTATTTGTTTTAAATTTGGCAGATCTGAAATGGAGGAATTTCCCTGCCTTATATAATTTTAATAACTGCCATACATATGTACCTCTAGTCTTAGACGACACCCATTTAAAATACTGCCTTACCAGTGATGTTAAAACAGTAAAAGAAAGCCTTGCTCTCTGATGTGGCGGGATAGAGTTGACATGGTTATGGAATTTGTTTTTAGCTTGTCAAGTAAAGCTCTTTTATACCTTTAGTTAGAGAACATATTTACATTTAAAATTAACATTTTCATTAGGTGTGTTAACATTTCCATATGACTAGACTGTATCAGGAAGTTACATATGACCTTTGGGGGTCTTGGAAAAATGATGTTTGACCCAGGTCCTTTCTTTGTGAGGAGTTAAACCCTAATGACAGGCTAATAGATGGAAATGCTGGAGTATAGAAATGCCTCCTCAGTCGAGTGATAGCACTTGCTTGGCTTGTATGTGAATGAGAGATGCAGACCTGCAGTTTACAAAGAAAGCCAATGTTGAATTCTGAGCCAATGTTACTTACTAAATTTGGCAATAATAGAAATACTTTTGAAAGACAAGATAAGGGCTATAGAGAGGATTCAGCTGTTGGAGTGCTTGCTGCTCTTCCAGAAGGCCCAGGTCTGGTCTCAGCACCCACATTGGGTAGCTCATAACTGCCTGTAGCTCCAGCTCCGTGGGAGCCAACATCCTCCTTCCCCCATGGGGCCCCTTCTCCCCTGCCCCCCCCCCCAAGCTATGGACCAGTTCCCCAGCTTTAGCCTTACCTCTCCGGAGGGAATGGCTGGGATTTGCCCTGATAAGATTAAAGCTATCTAAGATAATTTATTCTAGTGATTTATGATAAAATACATGATTTTAAGAAAAAAACAAAATACAAAACCCAGTACCCAGAAGGCAATGACAGCATCTCCAGCTTGTCCTATGTCGCTGATCCACTGCCTGGTACAAGTTCCTCACCCTCTCTGGACCTTAATTTCCATTTCTGTAGAACAAGTGAGAGATGTGAACAAAACAGAACCCATCTTCCAGTTCTGATATTTTTATGATTTATATAAAAATAAAGCCAGATCTTATAGCCATATCTTTAACCTGCATTGGTAGAAAATACTCTGTTTGAAATCATTTGAGCCAAATAGTGATTTTGGCATACTTGTTCTTGTTTTTCAGAAACTCTGTGAAGGAATCTTTAAGGTCCTTGTAAAGGATGTCCCAACAACTTGTCAAGTGTCCTGCCTGGAAGTACTCCGCATTCTCTCCAGAGACAAGAAGATTTTAGTTCCTGTAACAACTAAGGAAAATATGCAGATACTGCTGAGACTAGCCAAGCTCCACGAGTCAGATGAGTCTTTGGAGAAGGTGTCAGAGTTCCCAGTTATTGTGGAGTCATTGAAATGTCTGTGTAACATCGTCTTCAACAGTCAAATGGCACAGCAGCTTAGCCTGGAACTGAATCTCGCTGCAAAGCTCTGTAACCTCCTGAGAAAGTGCAAGGACCGAAAATTTATCAACGACATAAAGTGCTTTGACTTGCGCTTGCTCTTTGTCTTGTCACTTTTGCACACTGACATCAGGTCACAATTGCGCTATGAGCTCCAGGGACTACCGCTGCTAACCCAGATCTTGGAAAGTGCCTTTAGCATCAAGTGGACCGATGAGTATGAGTCGGCCATAGACCATAATGGACCTCCTCTCTCACCTCAGGAGACAGACTGTGCCATTGAGGCCCTCAAAGCTCTGTTCAATGTGACAGTAGACAGTTGGAAAGTGCATAAAGAGGTAAGGTTGGGAAAAGCACTCACGGCTATCTGGAATTAAGTGTCATAGCAGAACACGAAAGAGGAATGCTAAGTTTGGAAACGGCAACGGTTCTAAGTCCCCTCGTTAGTCTGTTCTCTAAACTGCAAGGTATTTCTTAACTTGCGTTCTTTCAAGGACTGGAGAGACAGCTTAGTAGTTCTGAGCACTGGTTGTTTTTCTGGAGGCCCTGGATTCTGTTCCAGTATCCACATGGTGATTCACAACCATTTGTAACTCTAGTTTCAAGAGATCCAGTGTTGTTCTTATGGTCTTCATAAGTAACAGATGTGCCTATGGTGCAGATATCTATGCAGGCAAAACACCTATATGCATAAAATTAGGTAAAATAAATAAGAATAGGGTAAAGGACTACCATTCTATAAGATGACAGAGTCTTGTGACTGGCATAACCACTTGTCCTTTTTGAGTGCCCTTTAAGAACAAGGTTCAAGTGACAGATTGGAGAGAAACAGAAGACTGATGATAGGTTCTTGTGTTGACTGCTGTCTGACAGGTTAGAGTAAGCCCATTTGGTTGAAATTGACCAATGAAAGCTGTTGTCTGTTAAGCAGAGTGAAAACCATTGAATTCACCTGGCATTACCGTCTCTAAGGGTCTTCTCCGTAGTGTATGGAGCCCTAAGAGGCCAAAACCATACACAGCCAGATTCTCATGTTTGCATACATAGGCTAATTACATCAGAAAGTGGGAAATACTGTTTAAATCCGCTAGATTTATTTCTTGATTAAAATCTTTCTCTGTGGCTTGGACCTTCCAACAACCCCAAGTGAGGCAGATTTGGTAGTTTATGTTTCAGTTCCTGCGAGGACAGCATGCTAAACATGAAATGTAGTGTCAGGAAGGTCAGAGTTGTAAGTGGGGTACATCAAGTCTTCCCTCCATCAAGGATCCTAGCATGTCACACTTTCTTTTTCAGTGGCCCTAAAACCCAGTGCATTTCAGCTCCCGCCTTTGAGCTTAACCTCCTGCCCTGTCCATTTGAAGGAATTCTCACCGTGTTTTTGCCAGCAGTCTGCTGGAGAAGATTATCTCAGCACAGCTATAGTGGGAGCATACAGGCATCTGAGTTGTAAAGTGCAAATAGGTCTGTATTTTGAAAGCAAATATTTGAAGATCAGAGCTAGCAGCTGTTTCAGATGACTGCAGTGTAGTCAGCTTTTACTGAGACTTGGCAGGAAAAGATGTGCAAAGCCCACATGCTCCATTTATGCTTTGAAACCAAATATTTGGAAGTATTTAAAATGTTATGTCTCTGCTTATTTGATACCTTCTGTGGTTATTTTTCTTACACTGCTTGTTTTGGTGTTTTTAAGATCTCCATTTAGTTGTAAAAGCACCTCTGAGACTGTTGGTCTGCCATTGTTAGACTACACTGTTTGGATGCCTGACAAGATGGCTTCTACCTCAGTGGCTGCTTAGCAGTGTATGTGTGGGAGGCATGTGGTAAGGATCAGCTCATTGCGACAAGCTTTCTGTAGTGTGCTTTAGCTGAGTAACAGTGGGGTTGGGGAGCTCTAGAAAATGTTGAAATAACAAAGCCTCACTTAATCTTCCAGAATGCTCCTCTCCAAGACATAGGCTCCCCATAATGGACCAGTGGTCCTTAAATAGGTTTATCTGTAAGCCATGGGGCAGTTAATGTTGCCTTTATGAAGTATGTGTCTTGAGTGTGACACTGGGCCAATACTGAAGCTTTCAGAAATATAAACAGTACTGAAAATAGGATCTTTGACAAGCTATTTATAAAAGAATGTCTTTATGTGGCTCTGTATTCAACAGTCACTCAACAGATGTTTATAAACAATAGCTAGACATTGTCCCAGGCATTGCAGAGCACACTGGCAAATACTAATTATTGTCTTTGCCTTCATGAAACTTTGGTTTCGTAGGTAGAAACAGATAGTACGCCAGCAAATCGATGTTAATTGAGTTGAGTTCAGTGCAAGGAGAGGAAGGTGCCAGTGATGGAGACACTTCTGGAGTTCTCTCCTGGGTCTGAAGGATGCAGGGACTGAGGCTTCCTAGAACTAAACATCAGTTACAAGACACAGGAACCAAAGCACAGAGTGCTTTTTTTATGGGGCAGTCACAACTCAGCCTGCAGAGATTTCTGATCCAGTACAGAGAAATGGGGGTTGGGGAGGTGTCCACTCTCCCTGGAATTCAGCGTCTTCTGTTTTTGTCAGAGTAAGGACATTTACTTCAACTGAGTAAGCCAGCATAATGGTTAATGCTTTAAATACCAACCAAAATAAAGAAGTATGAAAAAGTTACTGAGAATCTACTTTTAAAATAAATAGTGTTATTTTTCCACTTAGGAAAACAATACACACTCATAGGCAGTCTAAGAAAAAGGCACATAAGGGAAAAGAAACGCAAGCTTCCTGTAAGCTCAGCACTCTGAAGACTGCACTGCTTACACTCCAGTCTTCATCGCATACTGTGAACAGAGAGACACCTTTACAAACGGCAGTCTCTGTATACTCTTCCTCTCTTCCCACGCTCTTCTTGAAGAACAGTGGTCTTCAGGGCTGAGGGTGTGACTGAAGAATAGCTCCTTAGCATGTGTGAGCTCCAGATTTGAGTCCCCCATTTGCCAAGATAAATCACTTTTAAGAATAAAGGTTTCAAAATGTGTTCCTTCTGGCAGGAAGGTCCCTAGGAGTGGCCTCTGGGAGTCAGCCTCCTAGGTTCCTCATCTCTACACTGAGAAGAGAAATTTTAAAAAGAAAAAAAGGAACCTTTGACAATTTTGCTGTTGCTATTGTCTCTTTAAACTTGCAACTAAGATTTTGTTTGGATTATAAAAAGGTTCTGCATCCAAGACAAACTTGATACTACTCTCTATTAGAGATGATGAATCTCATGAAAGAACACTTGTAAGTTTAAAAGTAGTTGTGAGTATAAACAATACCAGTGAGAATAAATATGAAAATAGAATTCCTCATATTTATCAGCCTTTTAACAAACGCTACTTGCACATTTAGGCATGGATGTAATAAACTTTCTTGTGAAGTCTACATTCCTGAAATAGATGGGCCAGGGGATTTCAAAAGTTTAAGGTTTTCTAAGCTCTGTGTTGCCTGAGTGTGTGCATCTTGCTCTCTCAAACCTGAGGCATCTGACTTAAGATGCGTCCCCCTGTGGTATGGCCTAGCAGCTAGTTTGGCTTTAGCTATTTTAGCAGGTATGTTTATGACTCCCTTCATTTGCATTTCACCAAAAGCAGAAGATTAATGACTGGGTGTTCCCTGAGGTTTAACAAATTAGTTCTAGTTGTTCACGCTTCAGTGTTAAGTTCCTGATGCCTGCAAATGCATCATAACAGATTAATTTGAAGATTCCTTTCCTTAAAGCTGTCTCATTTCCACATGTTAATCTAGCTTTCCTCTCTCTCCCTCTCTGTACTGTTTCTTTCTGACTCCCTTTCTTTAGACAGTATATTTGAAAAGGTGAAATAGTTTCTCTAGCAGGGTATAAGGATAGTTCCAGAAGTTTTAAAATAATCTTGTCTTTCTATTTTAGTTTCCCCAATATCTCTGTTGTTGGAGCAGTTCATGTTTTCCAGAGTCTCTTGACTTAGTTCACATTCCCTTCTCCGTGTGCCTGAGTACTGCTGCAGGAAAAAACTGCTGGTCCTGACAGGGCCAACAGACATTAGAGACAGACAGGTGGTGCAAACAGAGCAGCGCGTATCCAGTGTTCAGAAGGTGCTGTGCACGTAACAGAAAGCACCAACAACAGTCACCAAGAACAAGAATGCCACAAAGGGACACAAGGGATCTTCTAGAGACTTTGAAGGAAATGTGGAAGGATAGCATAGTTGAAAACAGAAAGCTCCAGCTATGTGGTGCTTAGTCATTAAATCATGTCAGCAAACACTTCCCTGTGCCTAGTTTGCACTGGGTTCTAAGTGAGATACTAGTGCAAGGTGAAGCAACCTGGTCTCAAGGCGCAAACAAGCTAGTAGGGAAATGCTACAGGCAGGAAAGTACATGCACAGTTGCGTCCTACTCCATGTCTGCTGCTAGATAACAGCAGACAGAAGTTGGTAATTTTATAAATAATAGAGCTTTACTTTGTTTCTAGAGGCTGGGGAGTCCCAAATGAAGAAGTCACATCTGGAGAGGTCCCCCATTCTGTATCATGTTATGCTAGAGATGTCACATCAGGGAGAAGCCTTTGTAAAAGAGCACGTGGACGGCAGGGCGGTTCATGCCTTTAATCCCAACACTGGGCAGGCAAAAGCAGGTTGGGTCTCTTGAGCTTGAGGCCAAACTGGTCTACAAAGTGAGTTCCAGGATAGCCAGCACTGCACAGAGAAACTCTATCAGAAAAAAACAAAAACAAAACCCCCAAAAGCAGCATATCAACATGTGAGGGGCTTAGAGTTCCTCTCATGACAGCACCCACCTGTTTCTTAGTTCAGAGCCCTCATGACCTTAAACACTTCCTAAGGACCCTACCACCACTGCCACTACCATAGAAATTAGATTTAAATACGAGTTTGAGAAGGACTTTTCAAACCATAAGAACACTGTTTGTCATAGAGTTTACTAGTTTTTCTATAGTTTATATACTTGACAATAAGGAACCACATTAACAGTGCATAGCAGAACCAACTGCCATATATTCCAGGTCTTTGGCCTTTCTCTCAGGCATGGGTTAGCTAGGTCAACCTTGGGATGAAAGTATGCCGGAACAATACTTTTGCAAGTAAAGTGGAATCTTATACAATTATCGTGAGAAAGGAAAGCAGTAGTAAATATAGAATCAAACTATGAAGTGAGGCCTGTGTAAGAGATCTCAGAGTTTCCTCCATTTCTATCTCACTTTGACCCTGGCACCACTCCAGCCCACCTGTCTCACTCTTTGTGTCTTTGTCCCCGGGAACTATCCTTCTCCTCTTCCTTGGGGGTGTAGTGTCATTTCAGGAGCAAGGTGAAAATACTGATGTCCTAAAGACAGCACTTCTGAGTCCTGAAACCAGGAAACAAGACTTGTGTGCTGTATTTACCTAATGGTTTACGAAGAGACGTTGCATTTACTCTTGGTGTTAGTGAGGTATAAACTTTAGCTCCACTGCACATAGGAGGGCCCTGAGGGTCGGAAAGCTGACATTACTTCGGGGGACTCACACGGGGATAACCAACAGTAGGAAATAGTGTCCATTCTAGCACGTTTCCTAAAGTTTTTTTTTAAGTTTATACATATATGTATGTGCCTGTGTGAATTTATACACAATGTGTGCCTGCAGGCATTCATAGAGGACAGAGGTTATCTGATCTGGAACTAGAGTTCTGGGTGTTTGTAAATGACCTGATATGATTGCTGGTAACTGAACCTGAGTCCTCTGCCAGAAGAGTACGTCGTTTGGACCACTGAGCCATCTCTCTTAAGCCTCTAAGCTTATTTTATTTTATTTCATGTCATTCTATTTTATGTTTTTGAGACAGGATGTTACTGTGTAGCCCTAGCTGGCCTGCAACCTACTATGTAGAGCAACCTGCCCTCCAACATAGAAACCCCCCTGCTGCTGCCTCCCAAGTGCTGGGATTAAAGGCATGTGCTACAACACCCAGCTGTGTGCGCGTGTGCGTGTGCGTGTGTGCGTGTGTGTGTGTGTTAAGGTTGCTCCATACGTTTTACCATGTGCATGTGGACAGTTTTGTAGACTTGAGTCTCCATCTCCATTAGTTGAGGGAACCTAGGTCATCGGGCTTACAGGACAGCATTTCACCTGCTGAGCCATCTCTCGGCCCCACTGTCTTTGTTGAATAAAAACTGTTTACTGATAGCATGCCTCTAATAAGTATTTGTTGAGATAGAGACTAAAAGAGAGATTAAAGTATACAGATAAACTACCCGCTCACAGTCGACTGCTTATGATACCTGCCAGTGCAATACTGAAGAGGATTTCTTACAAAAATTCTACTAGTTCAAGCAGATGCGAAATGGATTGAAATCCTTACTTTATATCACACACAAAAAATTAACCTGATAGGAAAGAGACCTAAATATACAAAATTAAACATTAAAGTTTATAGAAGACTTCATAACTTTATCTCAAACAACTCAAACATTTCTGAATTAAGCAAAGACTTCTAAAGAAGATAAAATAAGGACCAAACCTTAAAGAAAATTTAGCAATTGGTCTTCATTAAAATAAGTTCAAAAGATAACAAGGTGCCAAGAATAGGGACTCACTCCTAGAATCCCAGCACTCAGGAAGCAGAATTTAGCTCAGTGAGGCACACGGTGAACAAGCAGGAATGGGTGGCATTTTGGCCCATGTAGCACGTTAAAAATGCCCAACAGGAAAGAGGGCACAGGGCTTGGAAAGGAACTGTCTAAAGGACTGTGCAAATGGCCAGGGAGCATAAGCAAAGCCGTTCCACTCTGTCATCTTAACATGATAACGAAAACCAAGAAGCAACCACATGTGTGAAGTGATCACAGAGCGGTGGAGGAACTTAAAGGTGGGGTTCCCCTTTGTGAGGTGTTTTCTAGCTGTGTACTTGAAAATACCCTTTGGCAGTGCTCTCTAAACATGAGAATCCCAAGTGTGGCGTGTCTGAGTCTCTATGGTACAGCATTCCCTGTCCTGGGTATGAACACAGTATGTTACATATAAGATGTGACAAGTATGTTTATGGCAGCAATCTTCAGGATGCCCCAACAGGAGACCCTCAGAGTGGATAAGTGCATTGTGATATAATTATTCAGTGTACTCATATGATAATAGTGCTTCTTTGAAAAAATGCAGCTGCATATGATATGTGTGCAGGTGTGTGGGCTTGCATGTGTACATGTGTGTGGAGGCCAGAGCTTGATGTTAGCTGCCTTCCTCAGTCATGCCCTACTTTATTTGTTTGAGGCAGGGTCTCTCCCTGAACCCAAGCCGTCTGCCCAGCCCTGTAATGCTCCTGGCCTGTATCCAGTGTTTTCTAATCTGTGGTGAAGGCCCCATGCTTTCTCATGGCATTGCATATCAGTGACAGATGAGCTGTCAAGCACCAAAAAGAACCCCTGCAACTACATACAACACAAATCAGTCTCATGACTAGAGAGAAACTGGGAGTCTGTTTCGTGGTTCCTGTCATACAAAGTTTAGTGGCACCAGAACTCACTAATGTGCTATTGTATGTTAGGGCTTTGGAGCATGTCATCTGGGGAGCAGGAGAGTTCTGGGGTTCGCAGTCCTGGCATTGCAGGGTTTTCGTGTTGCTTACAATAGCTGCTCATTTTTGTGAAAAGTTAATCAGCCATGCAGTTACAGTTCTGGCAGTGTTTTCTCTGTACGTTACACTTGACACTTGGATTAGAGTTTATTGTTCCCCTGTTTAATACATGCCTTCTGTCTTCATGACAATAACTAATGGAGGAAATAAAGTTTAATTAAATATGAAATTACAAATTATGATTTCACAAAAGAATCTTTAACAAGACACTGTGATATAGATGAGGTAGAAAACAAAGGAGCTCTCTGGAGGTAGAAAAGAGGCAGACAGCCCAGGTTCAGAAGTTGCTCTGAACAGAGATTTAGGTAATGGGCAAAGGGAACATTGTAGGCAGAAAGTACAATTAGGGAGTAAGTGGTGTTCAAAGACAGGAGATGGGTGGAAAGTGGTGTCTGCTGTGTCAGACTGGGGAAAGACCAGCATGGATGTTTCCTAAGAGGCTTGTCATGATCATCACGAGCCAAGCTAGTTGCCTCTGGAATAAAGGACTGTCTGATTTAGAGGGAAGCACAACTGGGCGTGGTTGTTAGTGCACACCGTAATCTCCAGCAGTGAGCAGGAGCTATGCAGCGGTGTAGGGCAGCCTGGTTTAAATAGTGAGACCCTGTCCCACGCTGGAGATGGAGCTCAGTGACTCCGGCAGCCAGGGAGCTGCAATAGCTCCCTTCTCAGAAGGTTCCTCACAGAACCTCACGTTTGTGAAGTGTGTGGGAAGGAGCTGAAGATTAGAAGCAGTGATGAGGTCATAGCCTAGACTCTTGCTGGACTCTAAGTGTGAAACTGTCCATTATATGACTGAGGCCTTCATCTTTCTTAAATCTGTATGTGATGTGTTGTTGAAAATATTTTCAGCCTTGTTACGTGTAGTGAAAGTCTATCCTGTTGTTTGTTAGAGTCTATGAGAGGCATCTTAGAAAGACTGTGCATTGTGTATGTGTGTATGTATGATAAATGCACACATATTTCACTTTAGATGAACTTAATTATATGCTAAGAACTTTAAAAAATTATTGCCCTTGAAGTAAGAGATTTCCTGTATTGTATCTAGGCTATCATAATTACCTCTTCATTGTTGTGTCCTGTGTCCTCTTCTATGTTAAAATATTTATATCTATATATATTTATATATAGATATGGAGGGAGAGAGAGAGAGAGAGAGAGAGAGAGAGAGAGAGAGAGAGAGAGAAAGAGAGAGAGACAGAGAGAGAGAGAGAGAGAGACTGACTCTGATTGATTGAAGGCCTTGTTGCAGATGGCCGTATACATTGTGATTGTGCTAGGAGATGGCTCGAGAGATAAGGTGCTTGCTGTGCAGGCGTGACCACCAGATCTCTGTTCTCCAGCACCATCATAAGCCAGGTGGGGGCGGGCCCCCACTTGCGGTGTTTATAGTGCAGCAGTGATACAGGCTCTCCTGAGCAAGTTGGCTCACTAGACTAGCCAAAAAGCTGAGTTAGGGATTCTGCCTCTGTAAATAAAACAGCAATAAAGGAAAGCACCCAACATCACATATGTGTGGACATCACACACATACACACACACCAACAAAGAAAAAAGAAATTGTAATGGTCCAAGATCTCATTATAAATAGAGAGGTAGCAGAAGTGATTCAAATGATTATTCAAAATTTGGTTCATTTCTCATTGCTATGTCCTTCTCTCTCGCTCCCTGTCTTAATTCAGTGCCAGTGAATGAATGTTGGGAATGTAAGGGGAATAAGTCTGGTCATTGTGGTAGTTATGTGGGGTCTGAGAGAGAAAAGATGGAAAGAAAATGAACCTGGTGTAAGCTCAGTACTTCCTGAGGCAAGATACAAGGTTTTCAAGACCAGTGTAAGCTACATAGCTAGACCCCATCTCAAAGGAGGAGGAAGAGGAAGAAGAAGAGGAGATGGAGCAGGAGGAAGAGGATGAAGATGATGAAGATATTGTTGTTGTACTCATTACTTTTGAAAGCTAAGAGATGAAAGTTTCATTAAAAAATGGAACCAGCTATAAAAGAACTGTCTCAGTATAGGTTAAATTTGTCTGAACTTTTGTTAGATTAGTAAACTGGCACATTATACTGCAAAGAACAAAAGAACCTAGACTGTCTGGAAATGAACAATCCTTAAGTGGAATTGATTTTTCAAAACAATGAAACAGGGTAGCTGGCTCAGCACCTCCTGACGTCAGCCATTCTGCATGTGGCTGTGGCTGTTAATGATGGGAAATGGCAGCCGTTTTGCTTATGCTTTGGGAGTGCTGGAGTATCTGGCCATCTCACTCTATGGAAAGTCAGTGTTGTGTTAGTGTGCCAGACTCCTTTGTTATGGCTTCAACTCCAGCTTTTCCTCTCCACTTTGTATTTACCACAGAGCGATTCTCATCAGTTCCGTGTCATGGCAGCTGTCCTTCGCCATTGTTTACTAATTGTAGGTCCAACTGAAGACAAAACTGAAGAGCTGCACAGGTGGGTAACCTTTACGTTGATATCTCAGTGAAGCACGTTATCCGTGTTTGATGTCTCTGTGTATCTATTTGTGATGGTTAATTATGAGCACAAGAAAGTGAAAATACTGTATTCAGTCAGGTAAGCAGAACCATGCCTTGGTGTGAAATTCATTTACTGTCCTCTTTGACTTTGTTGTATTGAACTCCAGGGTCAGACTTTGGCATGTGTTATACTCAGCAATAAAACCCAGAACAGTATTGAACACTTTGAGATGAACTTCCAGACTGAGGATGTTACTAGTGGTGCAGTGCTTGCCTACCAAGTACAGGCCCTCAGCAGTTAGGAAAAAAAGATAACTTACTTAAATGTCACACCAACCTTTTGAGGTAGCTATTTTTTTCCCAAAAGATAAGAGAGCCGAGGTCTTCTTTTTAATATTAAACTTAACTAATACTTCCACTATTTCATTTTAAGGGTATTTAGCAAAAGAGTATGTTCTATATAGTAATAATTTAAATAAAAAACAACAAAATAAGAAGAGAGGCATAGTGTCTTCTATTAAAACATAGTAGATAAAGTTGAGGAGCATGGCTCAGTGGGAAAAAGTGGTTCCTACACAGGCATGAGGGTCTGAGTTTGAGTCTCCAGAACTCATGCAGAGGCAGTAACAGAGTCTGTAATCCCAGCGCTTTTATGGGGAAATGAGAGGTGGAGACAGAAGCACATGGGCTAGCTAGCCTAATACATGCAGCAGGAAAACAGAGAGCCAGTATCTATCAGAACAAGGTGGAAAGCAGAGACCAATTTGACCTGAGCTTGATTTTCTGACCTTCCCATGTGAGCAGCCACATTGACACACATGCCAGTATGCACATACATATCTCCCTCTCATATCTCTCTTCCTCCCCCACCCCCGCTCTCTCACACACACACACATACACAAAGTTATAGATACATATAAAATAGAACTAATTCCAGTTATATGACTTGTCTGTTAGAGACATTAATGGAGTGTTGTCTAGAGCTAGGAACAAACAGCTCAGTAGAGTGTCTACTGTGCACAAGTCCCTGGTTTAGTTCCCAGCACTGAGAAATACAAGTTACCACTGTCTGAGAACAGTTAAGTAAGAGTTAATACAGTTTCCAGTTCTCTTACTTACTATGGATTAGGTTTGTAATAACAAAACATTTGACTTCATTATAAGACTACTAGTACTGTATTCTGTAAGAATTCAAATGGTGGCCAGTCATGGTGGCTCATGCCTTTAATCCCAGCGCTTGGGAGGCAGAGGCAAGTAAGTATATCTCAGAGTTTAGGACCAGCCTAGTGAATTCCACGACAGCTAGGGCAGTTACACAAAGAAACTCTGTCTCCAATAAAACAAAACAAACAAACAAAACCAACCAACCAAACAAACAAACGAAAAAACAAATGGCATGTTAAATAATACACAGCTACAAAGAGATAGTGTTTGCATCAGCTCTGCTTTATAAAGAAGCTAACATTAGCTTTTTCTATTAACTTTCCTCCTGGGCACTTTTCCAGATACAGCTTAAATAAAAACTACAAAACCACAATCAGAATAAATCTCTCTCTCTCTCTCTCTTTCTCTCTCTCTCTCTCTCTCTCTCTCTCTCTCATACACACACACACACACACATACACACACACACACACACACGGCGGGGGCGTGCCCACTCTAACCTTTAGATGTTATTTTTCAATTAAATCTATATAATTAATTGAATTAGGTGGAATAGTATGTTTTCTGTCATGCTGAGTTTATAGGTAGATTTTTTTTTATACTTTCTCCCCTGTAGCCCTTCAAAATGTCTTGTTCATGATTGGTGAGTATAAATTCTGGGGCGGGTAAGGTGGTATACATCTAATAGAGCCAGCCGTCCAGAGGGGAGGACATGAGCGTTGTGAGTCCAGTCGGCCTGGGCGATGTGGTGTGAGACACTAACTTCAAAATGTGGAAATGTTTTCTGAAGCCACAGATCACACTCCTTTAATTTCCAGAGACAGTGCCCTCATCTGCAATAAGTCCCATCTTAAATGATTGCATTAAGCGTTTTTACCCTTTATGGGTTTTTTTCTATAAAAGAGACGCTAACAATTCAGCATCAGAATTAAAAGTGTTTTTGTTAAAAAGCTTAGAAGGATATTGATTTAAAAAAAAATGTCAGATAACCCAGGCTGAGGAACACACAGGCCATAAAGAGGAAAATTCTGGCAGACAGGCAGGCAGGCAGGCAGACACTGCTGTGCTAGCCTCAGGAGGCTCTGCCAGGATTCTCCAAAGAATGGATTCCAGATCTTAGCACAGTGGTCAGCATGTGTCAAGAGAGTGAAACTACAGTGATTGTTAAGATTTCTCTTCCTTCCTTTGCTAGACTTACCCTTTAAAATCTTTTACTTTACAGAGTTACTTTGATAAAATCCATTAGCTCCACTGTGAGTGTAAGAATGTAGTGAGCACATCTGGGATTATGAGCATTCTCAGAGGTGCTCTTGGGAGACAGACTTTTGCTTATCCAGCAGTTTACCTGCAATGGCCTTGCATGCCCTTCTAATCAGAGGAAGGTGATTAGTATCAGTCTAAACAACGTTGATTCAAGGCTAATCCATTTAAATACTGAGGGAGCTGCTCAGTGTCAGGAGCTGGTGGGCACCTACGAGTTGCAGTGAGCTGAGCGCATGGTGAGCTGAGCACAGCCGCACAGAAAACTAGAAGGTGCAAGGCACGTGTTAAGCATTTAAGTCGTCTTGTTCTTTTTTATATAATATTTTTATTTTTATTAATTTGTTGAGAATTTTACTCAATTATTTTGATCATAGTCACTACCATTCCCTTGTATTTCACTCTTTAAAAGTTATTTTCAAGGGCTTTTATACTCCTTTTTACTTTTATATTTTTGGAGAGTTTTTGTTTGTTTTTTGATTTTTCAAGATAGGCTTTCTTTATGTAGCCCTAGCTGCCCTGGAACTCACTCTGTAGACCAGACTGGCCTTGAACTCACAGAGATCCACCTGCTTCTGCTTCCCAAGTACTGGAATTAAAGACATACACCACCGTAGCATAGCTCTATTTTTTTCCAATGCTTTGACTTAGGAAACAGTGGAGCAGCATAGGTAATCCTGGATAGGGAATTGTGGTTGAATGCTGATTATGTGAGGGTCTGTCACCAGACACCCCACCCTGCTCTTAACAGCATCTCTGTCTGCTGTTACTGTGATCAGCATAGTGACTTTTAAGTGTCATATTTAGTCCAAAAGTTTTTAATTGCTTCTTGAATACATTTTATTTAGAAACTTACTTTTGTGTATATCCTTTGATCATATACAGATACTTGTTTTCTGATATTCCATTTTTTTTTCTTGAAGCCAGAATTTCCACTCATATTAGATGATAAAGGTGCTTTACAAAAGAAAGAGCCTGCCATCTTTCTGGTCTGTGTCTCTGTGAGTGTGCCCCATTGCTTTTCTCAGAGGTGAAGAGGAGGCAGGTGTGATGAGTGCATAGCTCACAGCAGCAGGCGCCTGAGCTCAGGCCTCAGCATCCTCAGCATCTGCTATACTGTGCCCCTTCAGTTCATTCTGAGCAGCTGGGATAGTGTTCGTGCTGTCTGCCTTTGTGCTGAACGACGTCCTACTTCTCTTCCATCTCTGCTGTGTGCTTGGAAGTACTGTCAGCACCCTCACAGTGAAGGAACTTGTCCATTAGCACTTGGATAGTTAGGCTTTCCTAACTATCCAAAGGAAGAAGAAGTGGAAAGGAAGGATGGCCTCCATGCTGCTAGGGAGGGTGAGACCCCAGCACAGGTTAGCTTGCGTTAGGCACTCCACTCCAGTTCCTTGTATCCACTGAGGATATCAGCAAGTGCTCATCCGTGTCTTTGATCCATGTGCAGTGAATTTGTGTGCGGGTATAAAAGCCTCTTCTTTCATTTGTGTATTGGATATATAGCTTCAGCCACGTTTATTGAGAAGGCACCTGGTGTGTGTTTTGCCATTTGTATCCCTTTCTGCTTGAAGTGCTGTATTAAGTTTTCAAACCAGAAGTCTGATTCTCCAGGCTTTTCTCTTACAGGATTGCTCAGGCTGTTCAGTCTCTTGACATTCCATATGAGCTTTAAAGTTAGTTTTTCTATTTCTATAAAAATATCATTGATAGGAATTATTTGAATTTGGAATATTCAACTCCTAACAATATTGTCTCCTCATCATTATATATATCACATGTTAAATATCTGAAAATGAGCTGATTTTATTTTCATTTATATCTACATGTTAGTGGGCACTTACCTAGTGTTAAGGACCAGTTTGAGCTTTAGGGTTAAAAAAATCAAAGCATACAGTCCATTCTGCAAGGCTCACCAATTAGTGTACATGTGAGTGAGTGGGTCACTTGTCCACCCATGTCCCCCTCCCCACTCCCGTGAGCACTGTATCAGTGGACAGGCTTACATGAGAGAGAGGAGAGCACAGACAAAGACATTTACCTCACAGAGGTCAGAGAGGAGCTGTTGTTGTTGTTGTTAACTCTCTTGGCTCTTTTAAACTTATTTTCCATAAATCAGTTTTTCAGGTGAAAAGGGATTGTGAGAACTGTCTGTCCCACTGAGTGCTGTTCTGAGGTGTCATAGGGACATCCACAGCATATGTCTTGAAGGAACTGACATTAAATGGAGAGACAAGACATAAATATTATGAAAAGTTAAATAACAATTCAAGACAAGAATGGAAAGACCACGAGGTAGTTTTGAGTAGTTTTCAGTGACTGATTCTGGGAACATTTGCTAAAGGACAAGTTCACTGTGATCTGAAGTGAGGGTCTTCCTCACAGCCCTATCCTCCCTGGCCTGTTCCCGCCCACTTCCTACCTCTAGGAAATAATTTTTCTGTTATCAAAAGACTTAGAGGTTTACTCCCTAGCCTGTCTATCCATAAGCATCAGTTCATCATGAACATCAGTTCAACCCCCTCCCCCTCATATCCTGAGAGTCTCACCACA